AAAAAGAGGGGGATTACAATGGATGTTAGCTCAGAGCCGGTCTTCCTCAGCAAAAAGAGGAGGATTAGCATGGATGTTAGCTCAGAGCTGATCTTCCTCACAAAAAATAAAAAAAATAAAAAATAAAAAAATATATATATGTGGAAGAATGTAGAAAAATGATTTAAAATATAAAAATAAACAGAACAAATAGAAAACAAATAACAAGGTGGTAGATTTGGACCCAACCACATCAATGATTGTATTAAATGTAAATGATCTAAATACGTCAATTAAAAGGGAGAGTATTTAGATTGGCTATAAAAGCAAACTCCAACCATATCCTGCCTACTAAAACTCACTTTAAATATAAAAACACTAATAGATTAAAAGTAAAAGGATAGAAAAACAGATACCATGCTAACATTAAACAAAAGAATATTGAATGGCCTGAACACCCTCCCAAGGCAGCAAGCTCATGCAATTGTAAGCCTTTTCTCATTTGTTTTCTGTCTTTCAAGGATCACTGTCCTTCCTTGCCTGATGTTCAGTGTCTTGAAAACTATTGTTTTAAATGTTTTGTCTGATTTTTGGTTGTTTTAGGTGGGAGGGTAAATCTGGTTGCTATTACTCCAACTTGGCCAGAAGCAGAAGTCTTTGCTGTATTTTTTAAAAACCTGTTTGTTTTCTCAAGAATCCTAGGAGGGCACCCACACATGAGAAGAATATTATGGGAGCAGAAGAAGCTCACATATATGTGAAGACTGTAGCAGGAAGCGAGGAGCCCATGCGTGACACTTACCGTCCTACCATAGAAATGGAGAGAAGAAGGGGATTGTGGTGGCTTATGCCTAGACTGAGCTTGGAATGATGCAGCTCAGTCAAAGAGCAGATCTGGAGCTGGGACAAAGCTGAAAACCCGGGGATTTATGCTTGAGTGAGGAGAGATGCCAAGCTGCTTCTTAACCAATCCAAATTTCATTGACAGATCTGGAAAACTTTTGGATTGATTTGTCTCTTTAGGGGGCAGATCTGATAAGGTTCATTCCAAGTCTCAGATCTTGTAGTTTGATAAGCAGTGAAGCACCGAGTGTGGTCACTGTGCATCCAGAAGGAGCCTTTGGATCCTGTTCCTGACCCCAGTGGGAATTTGCCTTTCTTTGTGGTTTTGGGAAGGGACTTGATTTCTGAGTGTCTTGCCTTCTCATCTTTTTTCACATCACTTTTCTCAAAAAAACCATCAGACCTGGCTTCCATGGGACAGTTGACCAAGGCCAACATGGTACAAGTTGGGATATCCATGAGGCTTAAAGGGAGTGTGTGAGGGGAAGCAGTTCCTTATTTCTGAATATCTCAGGGTAGAAATCATGTGGAACCACACATTCCCTGACCACAGGTGCAGCATATGGCTGGATCATTCATTGCTCCCACTTATGTCTGTGATCAGAGAGTATTCAAGGAAGACAATTCTGCAATGGACTGTGTGTGTGTTGAGGGTACATAGGGTGGAGGGAAGGCAGAGGTTTCGAAAGATTATTAGAAATGAGGGCTGTATCCATTTTATCGGAGTAGAGAGAAAGGTCCAAGTCCTTGGACTATCATGGGGATCAACTCACCGGCAGGAAGAGAGATCAAGAGCACCCTGAGTGGATGAACACAGGACCAAAGGGATGGGCCAAGTAGTAATGTGCCTGCCACCTGAGGGAAGCCCATGGACAGGTCAGCCAGCTCAAGCCATGACCTCACCATCGCTTCTGTGAGGAATCTTCCAGGAATCCTGGTTCCTCCATGTAGGGCCATTGCACATGAGTAGGCCAGGTGTCCTGGTGGGCGAATCTGGGTTCAGGACATCTTGGGGTTCATCCACCAGCTCCATGCATCACCTTGATAAGCTGTGGAAACATTCCTTTCTCACACAGGGCCTCTGATTGCTCAGAAACACACCCCCTCTTCTTCAAATAACCAAAAATGGGTTCTACAAATCCAATCACTGCCAAGTGCCAACACGTGCTTTTCACAGCCCCTTGTGAAATTCAATTTTGTGCTAAGAAGTCCCCTAGGTCCAGTCACCTTGACAAGCAGATCTGGCCATTTTTAAGCAGATTTGCCCAGTGATCCAGGGGCTTGTGCTTCTCTTAGATGTTGGGAAGGACCTTGAGTTTGCTGAGAACTTGACTGTGGCCTTGGCCTTGACACTCATAGGTTCTGGCCCTGGGGCAGATTGTTGACCAGTAGAAGCCTCAGTTCTTTTCTTACAAGATGGAGATAGCAGTTCTCATCCTTCTACCCCCAGGGCAGTTGTGAGGATTGAAACACGCATGTGAATAAGCCTTGCAGTCTATAAAGTAACATGTGATTTGTATTTTGGATCATTTATTTTAATTCTACTTATAATCCATTGCTCAGAACCTTTATTTCAAATTGTTTCTACTAAACTAACAAGGTTCAGTATTCCTATAATTTTTTTCTGCTATGATGTGCAAGAACTTGTTTTGGAATAAAGCGAAAAGCAAAATGGTCATTCTTATAGACCTACAACACATCTGTGATTTCTCTTGGCCTATATTAAAGTATATGACATTGGCCCTGGGGTTGGACTCAAGGTTATCCCAGGGGTATTCCTAGTGCTGGCACTCTCTGGGGCTGATGGTAGAAATGTTCAGTTCTTCATGAAGGGCAGCCCATGTTGTGAGCAAATTGCTGAGACCAGAAGTCAAAAGCTCTGGCTCCCCAACCCATGGGTGGTGCCAGCTTAGGGGTGACCTTGGGCCAGTCGCATAATGCATTTTGTCTCCTTTCTTCACGTATCACTTAGTGTTTGGGTTGCTCGTCTCTAAGGTCACATCCACCCAGTTCAAACAATCTGACTTTGATTTTCCAAATCCTGCAAAGTAGGTCCTCCTCTTCCACCTCCCTGCTCACCACTCCTATCAGCCCAGCCTTCTGTACCTTGTAAAGTCCTCCTCCTATCCATACAATCTTGCAATCCCACCATCCTGGTGAAAATTATTGATCAATGCGTGAGTTACTTTAACAAATGTGCATTGGTTTCCCTCATATGTCAGACGATCTGCCAGGTCCTACGACAATATTGGAGACATAATCACAAAGCTAAAGGCAACTGAGTTTTCTGGGAAATGTCTCTCCACCCAATAAACGCGCAGTCTCCTATCCACTCAAGGAAATACCATTAGGAAAGCTTTCATAGAGGTGCTTTCGCTCTAGACGCTAAGATGTAAAACAGACTCTCTCTTCCCTCTAGGCTCAAATGAGAGAAGAATTTACACTCTCTTTCCTTCCTTTTCCTTTACTTGAAGTTGTAGGGGCAGAGAAGGGCATGACCCTTCCTGCCACTGAGTACGCCAAATGACTGAAGAAAAGCCTGGTTATATCAGGGCATGCCTCGAAATGCTGTGCCTACAGGAAAACTCAGAAAGGGCTCTCTCTACTCTATAATGAGGCTACCCGAACTCCAATAAGTTAGGAGGGGTAAAAATACCAAAATTGGGCAGGTGAGACCAGGGAACAATTTGTAAGATGGCTGAGTCTTTCCAATAGGTTACGGAAAGAATTTGAAAACTGATGGGGGCCTTTGAAGAAAAGGCTATGTGTAACTTTGGGCTTAAAAACTGATTTGTAATGACAGAGAATCCAGTTCTCATACAGTTACATTTGTAGGGCTGAAATGAGTTGAAAGATTTGACTGAGAGTGAGAACAAACCATGATGAAAGAATTCTACCAGAAATACGACTGATTTTGTGACGAGGAGTCAGATGGTGATTATTGCTGACTCACCTGGCCAAGGATTGTCCATTTATGAAGGCCAAGGTAAGAATGTGTGTTTTGGGGCTGGCCTGGTGGTGCAAGCAGTTAAGTGTGTGCGCTCCGCTGCAGTGGCCCGGGGTTCACCGGTTCGGATCCCGGGCACGCACCAACACACTGCTTGGCAAGCCGTGCTGTGGCAGCGTCCCACATAAAGTGGAGGAAGATGGGCATGGATGTTAGCCCAGGGCCAGTCTTCCTCAGCAAAAAAAGAGAAGGATTGGCAGGTGTTAGCTCAGGGCTGATCTCCTCACCAAAAAATAAATAAATAAATAAACATTCAAATTTCTAAAAAAAAAAAAAAAAAAGAATGTGTGTTCTTGTCTTGAGAGCAAGGGAAAGCCCTCTCTGTGTCCCCCTCCTTCTAGTTCCCTCTGGTCCAGCCACATGGGCCTCCCCTCTGCCTGTCAGATGCCACGGCATTGCCAGCAACACAGGATTCCTCTCTGCTCCCCAGGCGCCTAGGATCCTCCAGCAACAAGGGCTTTCTTCTGCTCATTTGATGCCATGGTCTCTCCTGCCACGTGGGCCCTCTCTCTGCTTTTCAGGTGGCATAGCCCTTCCACAGATGGCCTTTACACATACTGTTGATGAGATAGAGCAGGAAGTCCAGGGAGGCCAAGGTCAATAGAATTTGCAGTGCAGAGGAGAGGACGAGTTGCACAGAGACAGAACTCAGAGATCTGTAGAGGGTCCCTCTTGAGCGTTTGACTGAGTACTGGTTAGCACATGCATGTGAGGAAACTACCCAAGGCTGGGGCAAGAACCACTCAAACTGTAAGTAATACAGTTTTGCATTATTCCTGGCCCTGTGTGAGACTGGGGTATGTCCAGTCTCACACAGGGCCGGGAACAATGCCTGTTCTCAGACAGCCAGAGTAGGAAACACCGTAATTCACCAGGCGTCACGTAAAGTACTAAGAAAAGTATTGCCTCAGTAGTGGGGAAGAATAATAACTCTTAGATTAAACTAAGTTAGTGCTGCTCGAGTTCTGCCTAACAAAGCTTAAAAGCAAGATGCAGACAAATCAAACTGTTCCAAAGCAACTTAACCACATCCTAGCACAAAGCTCATGAATATTTACAGGAATACAAAAACATCCAGCTCCCAACAGGGTAAAATTCACAATGTCTAGAATCCACTAAAAAATTACCAGTCATGCAAAGAGGCAGGAAAACATGACCAGTAATGGGGAGAACACTCAATCAATAGATACTGACTCAGAATTGACACAGATGATGCAATTAGCAGACAATGACATTAAAACAGTTATAACCATATTCCATATATTTTATAAGCTACAGGAAAGTTGAATAGACACATGGAAGATATTTTTTAAAACCTAATTCAGACATCTAGTGATGAAAACTATAATGCCTGAGATGGAAATGATACTGGATGGGATTGATAGAACTGTATACATTGCAGAAGAAAATATTAGTAAAGTTGAAAATACAACAATAAAAACTACCCCAAATAAGACAGAGATTAAAAATAGAGCATCAATGATCAGTGTAACAACTTCACCTGGCCTTATAGATGTGTAATAAAAGTCCCTAAAATGGCAGGGGGAGGGGACAGAAAAACTATTTGAAGAAATAATGGCTGAACAATTTTATGAGAACTGTAAACTTGCAGATCAAAGAAATTCAAAGAATCCCAAGCACAAGAAATGTGAAGAAACTACACCAAGTCTCTTCATAATTAAATTGCTCAAATCTGTGACAAATAGAAAAATTTCAAAAGCAGCTGCAAGAATAGACACATTATATACAGAGAAACAAAGATAAGGGTTATAGTAGATTTCTCATGGGAAACAATGCAAACTAGACAGGGGAGCCACGTTTTTAATGTACAGAAAGGAAAGCACTGTCAACCTAGAGTTTTTACCTAGCAAAAATATCTTCGAAAAGGGAGGCAAAATAAAAACTTTTTAAGACATACAAAAGCTCAAAAAATTCATCACTAGTAGACGAATTTATCATCGGTACAAGACTATCAAAGGAAGTCTTTCAAGCAAAAGGAAAATGGATGGAAACCAGGGTCTACACAAGGAAGGAAAACACCAGAAAGGGGAATTCCATAGGTAAATACAAATAATATTTTTCTTATTATTGAATCTCTTTAAAGATATTGGACTGTTTAGAGCAAAAATAATAGCAATGTATTATGGAGTCTGTAACATGGAGAAGTAAAATGAATGACAACAGTAGTACAAAGGCCAGGAGAAGAGAAATGGGAGTATGCTGTGTAAGGCACTTACATTACAAAGGAAGTGATATAACATTTACTGCATAAATATACAGGGTGATAAGTTAGCTATGTATACTATAAACCCTGAAGCAACAATTAAAACAGTACAACAAAGAGTTAAAGCTAATAAGCCAACAAAGGCGATAACATGGAATTATAAGAAATAATTTTTTTAAAGGCAAATAAAGGAAAAAGAGAACAAAAAACAGATGAGACAAATAGAAAACAAATAGCAATATGGCTTTTAGCATCAATAATCACATTATTATATCAATAATAATATTAAATGTAAATGGTCTCAAAAGCCCAACTGAAAAGAAGAGATTATCAGCTTAGATATTAAAGCAAGACCCAACTATATGTTGTCTACAAGAAACCCACTTTAAATATAGAAACACAAATAGCCTAAAAGTAATATGAGAGTAAAATATACACCACGCCAACACTACTCAATAGTACCTGATTTCAAGACTTATCATAATGCTACAGTAATCAAGAGAGTGTGAGAGTGTGGTCTTGACATAAAGATTGTCAACTAGATATATGGACCAAATAGAGTCCAGAAATAGAGCCACATATATGTGGGATAATTGGTTTTTGACAAAAACGCAAAGGCAATTTTCAGTGGAGAAGGCTGGTCTTTTCAATAAATGATGCTAGAACAAACAATCCAATAAAGAATTGGCCAAAGATTTGCTTCATCAAAGATGATATGCCAATGATAAATAAACACATGAAAAGATGCTCAGCATCATAATCATTAGAGAAGTGAAAATTAAGACCACAATGAGATGCCTACTTCACACCTGAAAATCTGACCACACAAAGTATTGATGAGGAGGTGGAGGAACTGGAACCATACACTGCTGGTGGGACGGTAAAAATATCACAATCATTTTGGGATACAGCTTGTCAATTTCTTAAAAAGTTAAATATACACCTTCCATATGACCTGGCCATTCCAGCCCTAGGTATTTACCCAAGGAAAACGAAAGCATATGTCCACACAAAGACTTGAGCACTCATGTTCACAGCAGCTTTATTTGTAGTAGCCAAATATCTATCACCAGGTGAATGGATAAGGAAAGGGTGGCATATCCATGCAATGGAACACTCATCAGCAATAAAAAGGAATGAACAATTGCTACACGTTACAACATGGATGATCTCAAAATAATTATGTTGCATGAAAGAAGTCAGATAAATAAGAGTGAATACTGTGTGATTCCATTTATACAAGATTCTAGAAAATGCAAACTCATCGGTAGTGAC